CAGACTCGCTGGAACAACGTGTTGCGAGTCGGGTGACTTCATCAACCTTGTTACAAGATGATAGCAACTTGTTCCAGACTTGTAGACAACTGGGACCAAGCAGCACAAACACATCTTGTTGATAAGCTGTGAGATTTTTTCGCGTGCAGTAGAGTAGTTCGCCGTCAATCCGTCAAATATCTTTGCAATTCAGGGCTCGAAACAGCGGGCAGCCAATGGCCAAAAGCAGGCCATATTTTAGAAATGGCAGGCAAAAACAAATTTGAATTGCCAAAGTAAAAAAAAATGGCAGGTGAAATTCTATAGATATATTTCATTTGATTAACACAACTCATATATACTAACTAGATCATTTAGTTGACTAAATACGTTTATATTTGAAATGTGAATCCAAGTTTACTGTATAGTAAAATAGACAAGTTTAAAAGCAATAAAAATGCATATCATGAAAACATTGATTTTTACAATATGACTCATATAAGACATTGCCATATTGGCAGTTCAATGAATAAAAATGGCAGGCCAAAATTTATTTCACCTGCCAAAAAATTTTAGACTGGGAGGCCATATTTTTTATTTACAGTAGAAATATACCACACAAAGATTTTTTTATTATTTTTCACTTTCTTGATCACTTTCACAAAGAACTTTAAACTACTACTCATTAAATTGTTGCCTGGTTGCAATATAGTCAACGTGGGGGGCGTTGATCCTCACTGTAGCCACCACTGGGCCATCCGTTTTATAACTCCATACAACATTCCCCGTGGTGGCATTTAATGCTACCATCTCCCCCCGGATTGTACCCACATAAAGCAGACCGTTTGTCGCCAGCTTAGGTGAAGAGAAAATTTCTGAATCATCGATATTTTTAGACCAGATGACATCACCATTCTTGGAATTCATGTGAAGTACCATGCCGCCTCCTGTGGCCAGAAATATGCGCCCGTCATCCAAGACCAGCGGTGATGATCGAATCTCTGGGATGAACACTAAAATGTAAGTTATTAACAGAATATCAGTTTTGCTAGTCCAAAGCACAGAATGAAGATCAGTAACAGAAGGGTCACTCGGCGGTGCAACGTGTCCTCGTTTTTTTAAGCAAAAATAAGCAGTTTACTGGCCAGAAGGCGGAGCAGCCAGCCAGTACAGCGTGTTTATTGGCCAGAAAATGTCATTGACTGGCTAGAAAAATGGCGGCCAACATGCGTAATGCGACATGTGCGAGGACAGAAACTTCAAAGCTTTCGACGTAAGTGGCCCTTCTGTATGGATCTTTATTCTGTGTCCAAAGTCTCGAACGTAGTGGTCCGGTGGATCGCATCAAAAATTCGAAACATACTGTTTCCCTCGCCCTCGGTCCCAGTCAATAAATGTTAACATCCATTCTCTACCGCCAGATAAAGCTAAAACAAAGTAATTTTAAGAGGAACGCCAAAAAATTTAAGGTTTTGAACACTTTTCATCGCAAATACACGACATTGTAAAAAAATTTCCTCTTAAATATACACCAGAAGCCATTAATGAAAACACGTGCTCAAACCGTAAAAGTCGAAATCCATTTACCAAAGTATATTCAAGCTTATCAATTTAGTTTTGAACGCCTTAATTTTTTAATTTACCCTGCCTAACGCCGGAAGATTTTAGTTGTTCAAGGGGAGACCCTTGGATTCAGTTCTACTCACCAGATTTCTTCCAGTATATATTACCAGTCTTAATATCTAGCGCATAAAATGTCCCTTGAAGACAAACAACGTACACCATCCCTGTCTCTCTATGGATAGAGGGAGATGCGTACACTTCAGATTGTACTTCTAATTCCCACAACTGCTCCCCGTTATCCATGCGTATCCCATGACATGTCGACTGCACGGTACAAAACACGACAATATTCCGTCGTTCGTCGACGGCAGCCGAGGCAAAAATTCCACCAATCGGAGAAGACCATATAATCTCCCCAGTCTCCCCATCAAGCGCATACACCATACCCGTATCAGGTTCGTCAACAAGCCCTCCGATGAATACAAGTCTTCCTCCAGAAGCCAAAGCGGGTGTAGCCCACACAGCTGACCCAATAGAAGTTTCCCAAATTAAGACACCAGACGAGTTGACGCAATATATATGGTTGTCTAGGCAACCGAAATATAAATTCCCAGATTCGCTCATCCTCACTGATGAGGTTATAGCACCGCCAACACGAAATTTCCATATTAAGGAACCATTATTTGCATGAAATGCTCTCAAGTATGTATCGTCGGCTCCACAGTATACCGCTGATCCGTTTGTCATACAAACTGAGCCTGTTTCGTCAGCAGTTTGATGTTTCCATAGCAACGAACCATTACTTCCATCTAAAGCGTAGATCCAATAGTCATCTGAACCGAAATATAAGACAACGTCTTGTTCAACGTTTACTTCGCGTTCTACCACAATAGAAGGATTGTCAATAATTTCCGCATTCCCCTCTGTCTTGGAATACTAGAAACAAAATGGGCATTGTCAGACATGCGTGTAAAAACTGAATGAACGAATAGCTTCTCTCATATAGAAGATTGCGTTGCCAAAACGAAGTTTGAAAGTACTGGACAGTTGCTGTAGCACAGTACAGTAAATTGCTTGTTGAAGTACAGTGTATTTGAAAATATGACTGTATAGCAACCTACACGTTTACATACTGTATTTAACCATGATATTTAACTAAAGCATTCTGAGTATTTTCTCGTTAGCTCACAAATCAGTTAAATCGTTTCAAGAAATCGACTCGCGCTAACAGTAGAAGTTCTGCTAATCGCCATTCGAAAAGCAGAAAATGTATGTTCAAGCAGACTTTTCTAGGGTAGTGCAGAACTTCTCAAGGGGGGTGGGAGACGCCACTAGGTGGGGTGCGCACCCTCCTGCACCCCACAGATCCGCCCCTGGGCTATACAGTGTTTCAACTCTATTTCAGAGCCATCATCAGGGAAACATGATACAATATATTCATGAGAAAAATACAACACTGCGTTCTCAACATAAAGTTGACTCAAGCGAGATTCACTGAAATCGCATATTCATATTTGAACTAGCTTACTAGAATATCTCTTTAATGGCATATCTCATATCATTAATGTGATTAAAGCTTGAATACCCTGGCTTCTTCAAAAATCGTGTGAAATGGAAACTAAGTGTGAGAACTTACAGTTTAAGTAAAATTCATGTGACGCAATGACACACGACTTGGAAGGTCTGCTAATTCTTATCTAAATCTAAACCATAATCCTGAAAACAACTTACTGTTTTCTCAATAGCTGCGGCAATTTCGTCCTCATCTATTTGCCCCTGTAACTCTCGGATCACGTCAACATCACGTGCGTTGAGTGGTGTATACTGTGCAGCAAAGTTCAATGCGATGTGTTTGAAGTTACTAGAACGTGGTACCACCACAACATTCTCCCACATTGCCCAACGTAACACTACTTGAGCGACTGAAGCATCGTAGCGTGCAGCAATGTTGGCTAACACTGAGTTGTTCAGAACTGGATTGTATGTGAGACCAATGTCTGCCCAAGAACGACCGAGAGTGCTGAAAACAATGGAACGAAACTTTTTATTGGTACAGCAAGCATTACGGGGGGGGGGGGGCAACAGACTGCGGTCAACTTCAGCAAGGCTGGACAACTAAGATTTACTAGGTCACTGGTGTACAGGTAACATAATATAGACCTTGCAGAATTTGTGTGTGTTACCTTCCCATGGTACAGCGTGGCCTCAGTGGAAAGGAAGGTTTTATCACTGTTTATATCCAGAGAAGTTCGTTGTACCCTTATTGAACTAACCGAGAAAAAACCTGGGAGCTTTTGGCCACTGAAATCACCGATTATAATCTTTTTGTCTGAAGTTTGTAAAGAGTTTGGAGCAATTTTTCGTAGTTCGTAGCCTTAGTTTTGTACTTGCTATATAAAGTACAACCTGTTTGTTTCAAAGTTTTTGTAACAAGAAATTGGAAACCCAGGTATTTTTTGCACGAGAATAACCAACCTACCTGTAACCCATGTAGACAATGCCATGCTCTTTACAAAACAGCCGCACTTCAAGATCTTGAATAAACGGATCAAAAAGGTTCTGTACCACAGATGGTTTGTGATGAGCTATTTCCCACAGTCTTTGCAAATCACTCACTTCAAAATTACTTACACCAATACTGCGCACTTTACCTACAGAAACAATATACTGTGTCATTCAACTTGCTTGAGGTTAAAATAATGTAAATTTGGTTAAAATAATGTTGTTTCACAATAAAAGCCCACGTGTTTTCCCAACCCCCTTAAAGGCCAGTTTGCACTTGTAATTTTTGCTGCGATTTAATCCAGACCTACGGCGATTTTCGTTCTAATTGACGCATGTGAACGAGCGGATGAGTTATGTTCCGAGATATACCCTAATCTGAACATTCATAACTGATCCAGCTCATTCCCATCAATTAGAAGAAGTAAATTGCGCTACAAACCTCCAGGTGAAATGCTTTCCATTATCTCACCTTGATCAACAGTGATCTCCAATTCACGCCAGGCATCTTCCCAAGTTCTAGAGGAAGTCTTTTCCATGCCGTTGCAAGATAATCTACCACCTTCTTCCTCACAATCTGTTGCATGCAGTAACATCACATCAATGTAGTTTACCTGCAGAACAATATTATAATTATAATAACTTACTGACCGAGAGTGAGGGCAGTACGGGAAAATATCCAACCGAGGTCTTGCTGTATTGACCGAGCGATAGCGAGGTCAATACAGCAAGACCGAGGTTGGATATTTTCCCGTACTGCCCGAACGGTTGAGGTCAGTAAGTTTTTTTATGGCAACCTCTAGTAGCCTTAGCCCTGTCTCGTTCTTAGCACCGACCGTTCGAAATCTTCCCAGTATACACAAAACACCAAAAGTGCCAGGTTAAAATGAGGTTAAAATAATTTTAGATTGATGTCTGTGATGTTACTCTGAGTGTATATTCACACCGGGCAAGCTTGAAAAATATGCCTGGCCACGGTGGGAATCGAACCTACGACCTTTGGAATACTAGCCCCAATGCTCTGTCAACCGAGCTACGCGGTCAGGTCGGTTCGCGGAGTGTGTGATATTTCGGAACTGAGTCTAGTTCCTTCGATATCAATGCAATCTAGTAATATGATTTTCTAGTAATATAATCTAGTAATTATATTGATATCGAAGGAACTAGACTCAGTTCCGAAAATATCACACACTCGAACCGACCTGACCGCGTAGCTCAGTTGGCAGAGCATTGGACTAGTTTTCCAAAGGTCGTAGGTTCGATTCCCACCGTGTCCAGGTATATTTTTCAAGCTTGCCCGGTGTGGATATACACTCAGAGTAACATCACAGACATCATATTCACCTGAGTACACAACACCAACACAGAAAAAAGTTTAGATTGTATATAAGTATCAAAACACATTTCTGCAGTGGACCACGAATGCTTATACTGGACCCCACTATATTTGCTCGAATTTTTACCTTCAGTTTTTCAAGAGATTGTTGAACTGACTGTATGGTAGCACCAGATGTATAGAAATCTTTCGGATGTATTTTATCGACAATCACAATCTCGTCTCTCGGTACTTCACTTATTGCTATTGCTTCGGCAATCGCTTCTTCGGTCTCGTATGCTACAGCTGTATCAAATAATCTACCAAGGTAAACAATGAAGTACTAGCTAAAATACAATGCAAATTTCTTTCTGAATAGCACGTCTGGGTTGAAATTTTAAAAAATTTTAGTCGCCCAAGTGACTACAAATGAATAAGATGTAGTCGCCAAATTCAAAACCAGGTCGCCCATGTCAATGTGTTTATGAACTAGGTTAATCTACAAAAAACAACAACCCGGTTTACTGTATGTACATTTACCTATATCCAGATTTTAAAGCTGTTAAAGTAGATATTTTTGCCTCTTCTGTGAGAAAGCCGGTGCCAAATCCCAGGAGTGGAACTAAAATTATATATAATAGTCCATTTTTAAATAATGGAGTTTAGGAAGTAAAACTATATGGTTGATGTTTGTGATGTTACTCTGAGTGTATATCCACACCGGGCGAGCTTGAAAAATATGCCCGGCCACGGTGGGAATCGAACCTACGACCTTTGGAATACTAGCCCAATGCTCTGCCAACTGAGCTACGCGGTCAGGACGGTTCGAGTAAGTGATATTTCGGAACAGAATCTATAGTCCCTTCGTCTTCGATACCAATGTAATCTACTAATATGATTTTTTTTTCAAGCTCGCCCGGTGTGGATATACACTCAGAGTAACATCACAAACATCATATTCACCTGAGTACACAACACGAACACAGAAAAAAAAATATATGGTTGATTTTTAAACTTTTTATCTCAGTACTTAAGCCCTTGGTCAAAGGGAGGCTTGTCATTAGTTGAGAAAACTAATGATAAATCCTGATATCGGCTTGGCAACAGCCTTGTTACAACTTGTTTCCAGATCTTGTAACAACTTAGAAGAAGTTGTGTGTAAAGTACATTGCATTGTAATGCAAGTAAACATAGCCCGTTTTGCTGAGCTGAGCAGTGAATACGAAAAAAGCAACTAAAGTTGCCTTAAATATATTTCGAAAATGAATAAGTAAATTTATGATAAAATAATAGACAATTCCCATTATAGACTAATTTTAAACTAGGCAAGGAGATGCAACTAAATCACCATAGCTACAAAGAGCATACTAAAATAAGTAAAATTGCAAAGTTTGGTTGCGAAATGTTGTAAAATGCGAAAAATATAGCCCTGCAAAGTTCGCAAATTTTGTATACTTTTGTTTTGTGTGCGGAAATTGCTACCACATTTCCTTTGGGCCGAAAATGATTTTGGAACTCTAATGGTTCCAGCAAAAGACTAAATTTTGATCTAGGCAAGAAGAACAAAATCCATCACCACAGCTAGAAAGCGCATGTTAAAATTAGCAAAATTGCAAAGTTTGGTTGCGAAATGTTGTAAAATACGAAAAATGTGGCCTTGCAAAATTTGCAAATTTTGAGTACAGTATTTTAGTATTACGCGCAGAAAAATGCACCACTTTCGGCTCAAATGTGGTGCATTTTTCCGCGCGTAATACTAAAATACTCAAAATTTGCTAATTTCACAAGGCTACAGTATATTTTCCGTATTTCACAACATTTTGCAACCAAATTTGGCACTTTTACTAATTTAAGGATGCTCTTTTAAGCTATAATGATAGATTTCGTCCTTCTTGCCTGGTTCAAAATTTAATCTATCATGTTAGGGGCCATTCACAAAGGATGTCCGGCCAAATGATGGATTTTCAGACCCCCCTCCCCCCCTTGTCCGGCATTGTCCGAATTAGTGACCCCTCCCCCCCGGACATCCGCCATGCCTCGCAAAACTCACGCAACCTTGTATATATCAAGAGTAAAAAACTTTTTTACTTTTAGAACTTTTTTATAACTGTAAATGTGAACACAAAAACATATAAATTACTAATTAAAACAAAATCTAGTGTTAACCGCATAGTCAAAATGCCAATTTCACAATGGGAAGGACTGCTCAAAATAGAGGGAAAAAGAAATTTGTTTTTGAATTTTTTTTAAATTTCGGACATCCGGAT